GGAATGCCTGTAGCTTTCCTTCAAACGCTGCCAAGTGGCTTTTTTCTGTCAAAGTTCTGGCAGGAAATAAGTTTTCACAATGCGTATTTGCAGTGTTTAAAAATGTCCTTTAGCATGAAAATGTTGTGGATTTTTATAACATACCATCAGAAACAATGTCTTATTCAGGTTTCATTCTTTACTATAGGCACTTTTGAAGGAGGGATGGTTCCTAAAGGTGACTCTTGATAAGTACATGCATAGTACTTACCTGATTTGTGGTTATGTATATATGTGTATGCTCATTAAAGCATGAGATAACTGTGCTGCTAAAAGCAGTCAGTTCTTTTGGAGACTTCAAGGTAGGCACTGAATTATACTCAGATTAGCACATTCTTAAGACGTAAAACCAAACTTCTGTTTCACAGTAAAATAGATTTTCTTATACAATGTTTAAGTTCCTGCTTGGCAAAGACAGCAGTTCTCCAGCTTTTTTTGTTTACAATTTCAACTTACAATTGTTGTGCTTACATAAATTATTGCTTCATAATACAAATAGCAGTAGTGCTTCATGTGGTCTTTCATTATGGTAAAGAACAAACTCCTGAGATCAGGAGAATTTTATAGAAGACAGGATTACATCCTCTGTCATTAGCTGTGCACAAATGCCTTTAATTTATTCAGCTGTCAGTTACATCAATATTCATTTTGGCTATAATCTCACTTAACAAGCTGGCTTTGTTGTGCATGTTCCAGTATTTAATAGTATACTAAGTGACTTGTGAAATGTTTTATGGCAGAGTGACAAAACTTCTGTCACAGTTTTGAAAGACGAGATGTGAGTTCATGTTTAAATCACCCCTGTATAGTACCTTCCTTCTCCATTGTTGAACATGTGTAGGCATCACTTCGGTGTTTCATGCAACGTTCAGGAGTGAAACATAATTAGGGCATTGGTATTATTGCTACGTAACATTAAAAACAGGCATTCCCCTTAAACTTACTCTGTGTAATACCACAAAAGGAATGATTAATAAATGATTCAAGAGCAAGCTATCACTAAAATGATGACATAGTGTGCTCCCTTTCTGTCAATGAAGTGGACTAGCTTTAACTAGTCAGTCTTGGCTGTATTAGTCTTGAGCCATATTAGTCAGGGTGCTTGTACAGGCAACCTGCCAGCTGATGTGGGAGGAGTACAGGGAGTCCACAGCATATGCTGCCAGTGCTGATGAACAGGTGGTGGTCAAACGCTTCTGCTGCCACAGCTATTTACTGAGCATAGATCTGTCTGCAAGTCCAAGCTGGGCAGCTTTTATAGTAGTGTTTCAGTTTATTAATAGACTAAGAAGATGGGAAATCCATAGGTGAATGAGACTGAGAGACTAGTTTTAGTTTAAATTGTACTGTTAACTTCTTCCACCTTCACTTCCCTCTTTCATAATGAGAGGAAGTAGAGTTGTCCTCTTGGATAGCCTGCTAATGCCTGCAGATGCGCTTTTTTTTTTTTTTTTTTCCCTTTGCTTGTCCTAAAAACAGCAGCATTTCAGCTTCTAGCTGGAGACTTGTGTATACATCACTGACTGAAATAGAAGGTACAAAGAAAAAAATTGAGCTGAGTTTAAGGCCTTCTTGGTTGTTGTCCTGCATTTTGCTTCCAAATGGAGTTGTGAAGGGTGTGCTGAGAGCAGGACCCTGGTGGGGAAGCACTGTGCGGGGACTGCGGTTTTACTGCAGCTGCCTGACGCCGTGTTGAAGATAACTCAGCCTTATCTGCACTCAGCCCTGCACCAACCTACTCTATCCTCTCTGCTCCCATCTGGCAGGGCAAACGTGTCAAATGGAGACAAGCTCATGGAGGCTAACCCTGCTTTCTAGGCCCCTGTTTTTGCTCATCACCACATTTCCCTGTTGCAGAAGTTGTTGCTGTTGGCTCCTTAGAGTAGGCCTGCCCTAGCTGTTTTCCCAGCAACCAGATCTCATGGGACGAGTTGTCAAGGAGCAGCGGGCTCTTGACACATGCAGAAGCAGTTTGGCACAATGGATGCCTTGCTCAAAAGAAGCATCATTGAAATATTTACCAACGCTACCATGCAGTCTACTTTAACAACTTGACCCATACCCCTCTGCCCCTCCAAATTGTGTGTCTCGGTCACCGAGCTGGAGAGATGGATGCAGTACCTATCTGCTATTCCAAGCCCTTGTGGCACGTGTCTTGGCTCTCGCAAGAGGTCATTGACAGGATGAGACCGTTGAAGCTGTGTTGTCTCCTGCCCCTTTGCCATCAGGAGAAAGGGCATGTGAGCTGGTATATGTATCCCTATCAGTATTATTTTGATGCAGCTCATCAATACCTGTGAATGCAATTTAAATTCACTGCGAGTCTCTGTGTATTGGGCATCCGTGGAATAGTGTGTTGTATTTGGGATACAGCTGAGAGCAGGGCAGCCAGTTGTGATGCTTTTATGAATAGACTTATGAGATATCTTTCTTTGCGACAGCAGAACCTGGAGTGATCTGGAAACTGACCCTTTCCACTCTGTTGCTGATAAACAGCAGTCTTTATCATGAGCGAAAGGATTCAGGTGTTGCTAAAAGAACAGATAGAAAGTTCCTGAGTACTTGAGCAAGCAGAGCCAAGTGGTGCCTGGTGACAGACGAACAGGATTCCTTTGTGGCCCTTTGTCAAAGGGCTGCCATGTAAGGCTGTTCTCCTTTTTAGGAACAAATATGAGGCCCAGGAGTGAACACCATGGAAAGAGCTGTGGTGTGTCTGTTGAGACTGTAGGTGAAGCGTAGCCCAGAAATTTGCAGGTGTTACTGGGAATCAAAGCTGTTCTGACCGCTAGCTGCACTGTCTCAGAACAGAGCCTGGAGCTCTGACCGTGTAGCGTAGGTTTCCCTGGGCGCTTGCACAACTTTTCGATCTTACCATTTGCACATACAGCAGAGGAATTTTGCACATGTAATGTATTCCCCTGTACTTGGTAGCATAACTCAAAAATATTTGATGTGTATGTATACAAATGGAAGTCAGGCTGACAGTCTCTGATTTCAGCGTGGCTCTAAAATGTTATTTCCTACCTAGCAAACCAGATTGGCGTTCTTATTTATGAACTTCTATTTCAAGAGTACAACTGGCCAGAAATCTGAATTTCATGTGGGAAGCTTCTGTACTTTCAAGCTTCTGTTGTGTGCTGGGGCAAGTTTTCTGGCATAGAAAGTTCTGAAGAATTTTAACTCAAAGGTGTCTGTTCTATTTTTGTTTCGATGCTGAGATGCAGTTCAGTCCCCTGACCCGCCGTTCTCTTCAAAGAAGTCGTAACTAGGAGCCTTCATTCTTGCCCTTTCTCTTTTTATGGACCATGCTTCCTAGATGAGCAACACATCCCTTGAGACACTGCAGAAGGTTTGGGTTAGTGTTGACTTCTTCTAAAACAAAGTGATTTTGTTTTTAGTTTCCTAAGGGAAAAAATGATTTTTTTTTTTTCCTGTGGGGAAAATTACTATTTTTTGCAAAAAATGTTCTTTCTATCAGACCAAAAAATGAGAAATATACTGACCAGCTCTGTTTAACAACTTATTATTCTGTATTCTTATATTAATAACTGAGTTCTGCTTTCTGCTACTGGGGTAGGCAAGTGGGGAGGGGGCAACAGTTCTATTGTTCTCTCTAATTTCAAGAGATTTTAGCACAGGTAGCAGATACAGCATTAATGGAAGATTCAAATAACTAATCTGAAGGAAGGCAAGAAAGTATCTAATTCTATGACATGTTCCTTGGGTTTCAGGATAAAAATGTAACAAATGTAAAGAGTACTACTGGACATGTATAGTTGCCAGAACATATTATATTTTTTAAAATGATGGTGCCTGGGCTTTGTGTAGATAAGGCAATAACTGTGCTGCTTTTTTCAAAACTAAAATAGCAGTTTGGGAAAAGCTACTGGTACTTTCAATCTCAATGCTGCAAATTTCTTTCAAAAATATTGTGTGTCCGTTTTGGAAACGGCTGTAACTGCCATATGCCCTCACTGAATGGATTGTCACTAACATTGCTAAACACTCTTCCTCTTGTATTTGAACTGAACTTACTCTGGATTGTCTTATATTGTTTTAAGAACATGTATTTAGTTGTCTTTCTTCACTTAGCATCATCTTCTCCTGCCTTATGGACTGCTCTCTTTCCTTTTTCTGTATGCAAGTGTTTTTTTTTTTTTTTTTTTTTAAATGTCTCAACAGTACTTATTTGGTTTTAGACCTTTATCAGCTAATTTATAACACTGAATAATGTATTGAATTCCTGTTATGGACTTTTTTTTACCTTCTGTGATAAAAGTATATGATGAAGAGGGGAAAAAAATCCCTAAACCTAACAATGTAAGATAACTTTTAAATTTTATTTTTGCTCTGCCATAGCCATATTAAGAAAATATTTATGAAAGGTTAGAGATAATGAAGTAGGGAATTTGTCCTCAAGATCATGAAATGAATCTTTGTCTGTAGTTCAGTATAGTCAAATAAGTGAAATTAAAGCAGTTTAAATTAAACTGTGGAAACCACTAGCCTAAGTAGTAGAGTGGTACTTAATACAGTAGTTCTAGTTGGGACTGAGTTTTCTTTTCTCTGATGCATTCTTTCTTGTAGATCCTCAAATTTATCAGCCTACTAATGCATTATGTGGTGTCCTGGCAGAACTCAAAAACAGCTTGGAAGCAGCTAAAAGTTTGGTGCATGCTTTTTCTCGTGGACTGTGGAGTGGTGATGTGGCAATAGGGGCAGGGTGCAGCGAGGAGCGACTGCCTCTCGCTGAGGGGCAGAAGCGTAAGGTGACAAGAAGTGACATCAGCCACCCTTGTGCCTTGGACCCTGGGAACCACAGGGGATGAAGTGGCCTGTACTGAGCCCAAGAGAGCTGTGGGAGCAGTGGTGAGGATCTCACAGAAGTAGGTGCTTAGTCCTCTGTGCCCCTTGCCCGGGGAGCACTCAGAAGTGAGGTGAGAATAGCCTCAGACGGTTGTTGGGAGCAGCTGCATCACACCACAGGTCCCTGCTCTGCCTGGCCCCAGACAGTATTAAATTGCTCCTCTGCTACGTGCCCCTGAAGGAAAGAGGTTGGTACTCCGTTACGCCAGCATCGTTATGTATTGACCTGTGTGCTCTTAACTGAGAGCCAGTAATGAGTTGCATGTCTCCATCTCGTTCTGATGTTCGCATCACAAGCTTGGGTGTTTCACATACATTTCTATCATATGCAAAATGATGTTTCACGCCTGAAATATGTGCACCAAAGGCATCTGAGAAAGTATCTCCTTCTTTCCATTTGAGGAAAGGAGTAGATGATTTATCAGTTAAGTACAGGAAATGACCCCAATGTAAAAGAGAGATGTTTGTATCTCCACAGAAGCAAAGCAATGCTTATTTTAATTAAGAGTAATGACCAGACCTATCTCCTAGATAAGAAGAAAATTAATTTTGGGATAAAGATTAAATCTATGTGGCTCCCCAGGGAAATGGCTAACGCAGTCCCCTGAGAAGAGGTTCTCTCTAATCCGTGCAACCAGATGTGTAGGCATGCAGCTAGGTGGAATACTAGGTGTCAGGAAAATCTGCAAAAAATCCCTTTAAGAAAGGCTGCAGTGTAAGCAGTGTGTGTGTGTGTTTTTTTTTTTTTAAACACCATGTGTTTTTTGCAACCTTTTGTTCGTGTGTTCCTAATGTTTAGGTGTTGTAGAAGGAAACACACTTTATTTGCATTTGATCTTCCTTTGAAATCACTCTTAACTTAGCCAGGTTACCTGGGTTTTTCCAACTCAAAAGTGTAGTGAATCTATGAACTGAATTAATTGGAATTGTACATCCTGGCATGTTCTCCAGAGCACCCAAAGGGGCTAATGGTCATGCAGCATAAATGCCAGCCCCCCTGCTCCTGCTGGCGTTGTAGCAGTCAGAGGAGACAGAGGCCCCTGGCTGCCCAGGCACCCAAAAACCCTGCGGCAAGATACCAAGCATACTTGAAACCGAAGGGCTCCCAGGGAGTTTTCCATACTCTCCATCAGGCCAGCAAAGGTGGATACAAGAAATTAAGATTTAATGTTGCATGCAGCATGTGAAATCACAGTATTTCCTTCCACTTTGATTCTCAAGGGGACTACCTCTCCTTACTTAATAAAAAATGTTAGAAGGACCATTGCCATCTT